CCCAAAACCCCAAAACCCCAAAACCCCAAAACCCCAGTTTCATATAAAATTTTATATTTACTAAATATGGTAAGTCCTCGACCATTGCTGAGATGGACGAAGGGGATGGGATTTCGTCAGGAATGGGATCAAGGTTTAATACCCAAGGAAAGCGTGAAGTAATAATATAGCTAGTGCACGGGTTGGTACCAACAAAGAGGAAATGTGAATATGATGAGGCGTCTAGTGAAGGTAATCCTGGAAATAATATAATTCTACTCCCCTTGGTTTTAATTTATTCAGGATATATAGTTTTATATTGACTTCATATCCCCTAATTATCTTGTTTTCTCAAAGGTTAATGTTTTGCAATCCTGTAAAGGCGATGTAAATAAAATAAATGAAAGCCCTCTATTCTTTACTCAAAGCTGTATAAATCTTATCAGCAAAATAGGAATCCCAGATATTCTTAAAAGAGTCAAGATCCCAGAAGTAGATCTAATGGATTACAAATAAAGGAAAAAGGAAGTATTTTCAGATCGATGCAGTGAGTTCAGATCGGATGAGAGATTCCCTCTTCGATTCTAAATTTAAGACACATAACTCCTTCCAAAGGCAAAACCCTTTACAGAAGGGTCTCAGGCCGAGTGATTTTTCAAGCCAAAACCGTCGCTCAATGAGGTTTGAAGCCCCAGAAGACACATTCCAGCCAATCCTGAAAGGTAAATTCCTGAATAAGTTTTAGAATTCAATCCAAAAGTGTTCAGCAAGAGACTAAAGAGTGTGTCATCTGATAACTTCTTCAAATACAAAGATTTCTACGGTGCTGGGGCTGAAATAATATCTGAAAGTCCGAATAAATGCCACCCAACTCTGAAAGATGTTATTGAACAAAAATAGTGCTGGTTTTGAATCTGAACTGACTAGAAAATTGAAGAATAACAAACTAATTAGCCCTTTCGAATGGAAAATGAACTCCAATACACCTCACAGACCATTTAGAGACCGGTTCAAGTTTGGAAACAACAAGATTTGTGGCAAAGTCACTGACCAAAATGAAGAAAATACGTTTAAATCTATGCAAATTTACCTAGAAAAAGAGAAGAAAAAGAATGAATTAGCAACCAGGCTCACTAAATTACAGCAGAATTCTTGAAGGAAAACAGCTAGTCAGCATAGATTTGACAATGGTGATACCACAAATGAGGGTAGGAATCTCCAGAACGACCTCAAACTAACTAGTATTGATGGCTTACAAAGGAACACCCTAAGGAGACACGACCATTCTGTTGGAAGGGTCTCTCCTATCTTAAAGATACTCCCAAAAATAAAATCTGAAAGAAAGATCAAAGCCGATAAATGGCGTAAGACAAAGAATAGAGTAAAGGGCCAATGTAGTGAAGAGGCAAGTTCTACATATTTATTAACTGGTTTAGATGTACTACTCAACCAAGGGATTTGACACACAGAGAGCATACAACGCAATGATGAATGAGTAGATTAAGTTGCCACAAAATTCAATAATCCCTAATAGGAATGGGGTTTTGGGGTTTTGGGGTTTTGGGGTTTTGGGGTTTTGGGGTTTTGGGG